GAAAGACTCAATAACCAAACTTGGCCCGACCCGGGACTCAAACCCAGGACCTCAGAGTGTGCAGCCGTACATGCTAGCCACTACACCACCGAGCAGTTTACTGCAAATTTAATAATACCTTCTTAGACTTACGCGAATATTTGACATTTTAGATATTTTAATTTTGTCATAAATGGTCATGGGAGAGACATGATTGCTGTAAGGCTTTCGAAACGTCGGGAACCAAAAAATCAATATAAATCCGTAAAAAAAAACTGAAAAATAGTTTTATTCTGTGCTAAAATAATAGCGCTATATTATATAATGTCTAAATTACATTGAAACTCAAATTTTATTCAAGGAAATTTTTAGAAGCACTTTTGAATCGTCAACTTAATATAAAGGATGTCAGCGTAGTCAGTCTACAAGGAAGCTATCACTGGCTCGAAAAGCAATTCTGAGAAGAGCCGGCGAGAAATTCAACAGTTTCTCTTATAAAATAAAAATATAAAGTAACAGTAATTTTAATGTAACATACAGCATCCCGCATGCGAGTCAATTTATCTTAATTCCACACATTTTCATCTAAAAGAAACTTTTGAAAGTAATATGTTTTACTTAGTAAGTTAGTAGTACAGTTTTAATTTTAGCTTTAAAATTTCGTAAAAATAAATCAAAGACGTCGAGCATACACTCGGTTTCATAAAAGATTTATTCACTCTTTGGAGATGAAAAGTAAGTGTTATAAGCTTATTTTAATTTTTAGTATTTATAAATTACTAGTGACGCACCCTCGTTCCGCTCGAGTTTGTCCCTAGTTGCATTTTAACATTTAGTTGTGATTTCTCAGAAATGAGACATTTTCCCGCAGTAAAAGTATCCTATATGTTGACCCGGATAACCTGCTATCATCGTGTCAAATTTCATCAAAATCTATCCAGTGGTTTTCTCGTAATGCGTTCCCAGACAGACGACAGACAGACGAAAATTTTAAAAACTATAGATTTGGCCTCTGTATCGATATAAATAAGTATTTCAATAAGATTTTCCAAAAAATATTTAATGTACAGATTCGACTCAGAATTTTATTACATTTATTGATGTTTATTATCACAGATCATATAATACTATAGTAGACATTACGTTTTTAAAGAAAATATTATTATATATTACAAATTTGTAGTCTGTGATATTTTCCTTTTGATCCTACCTCTAGTTTCAAACCTAATAATTATTATACTAACACAATCTGACTGATCTTAATTAAACTTGAGTTACTTGAACAAACTTAAATCAACTATTCATTGGCAGCTGTGAAGTAAATCTAGTAAGTCAAGCAGTCTATTAAAAATTAGGCTATATTATATTCGATTAAATTTTCCACTTCGGTACAAAATTTCTCAATATCTCTAATTTCAAATGCCAATAACAATTACTGTCGCGCACAAACTATATCTAATCTAATAAACTAATCAAGTTGCTCAGTTATATAATATATAAATTTCGGAGAAATTTCCTTTTTATTATAAAGTAAAGACGACAAATTATGACTTTTTGATACCTTAGGTTACATTATTGCAATTTTAGTGTGGATTTCTAATTTTTTAAACACATACCTAGTATGGCCCTTGTTACTCGCTAATAATATAGCTTTTTATAGTTGAAGGAATTTTTAAAATTGGTCCAGTAGTTTTTAGTTTATCCATTAGGTACAAACAAATATACCTACAAAAAAAAAATCTCTTTATAATATATATACGTAGATTTAAAACATTGAGTACGAAAATAAAATACAGGAAAGTTAAAATTTTCAATTTTTTGTGTTAAATCTATGTAAAAATATAAAAAATATATAATAATAAATATCCAAACATTATGTAAGAAAACAATGACACGTCTCGTCCTTACGAGCCCGTGTTAGAGCGGTTTATTATAAAGGCGTCTGAGACCCCGATGGGATCACGATGTCATTGCTTACATCGTTGAAGGATTTCTTGATCCCTCGTTTATTTCTCAAATATATGTTCAAAATTATGTTATTTATTTAGATAGAATTTTTTTATGCCTCTGAATTATCCTTTTTTTTAACGTTGGGAAATGCATTTACGCACAAGGTGTGGGACTCACCGGCGTAATAAAGCCAGTACTACCCACTAAAACCCAACAAAACCTTCCCCCGTCTTAATGGGGCGTCGCAGGATCGCTTACGCATTCAACTACGACGCCCCGACGGCAGGTCTGCCGAAGCAGACCACAACAACCACGGGGTTGCTCCAAGGTCCACTCTGCTATCAGAGAAGTACCAGGAGCAACCCGCATAGTACACCGCCCACCGAAGATTACTGCAAATTAATCGAAGGAAAAGCTAAACAAATACAATCGGTCTGACCCGGGACTCGAACCAGTAGTAGTTTTAATACCAGCTATAAAATGTTTAAAAATAAATCTAAAACATTGTATACACTCGGTTTCATAAAAAAAAACTTTGATTGGAGATGAAATCTAAGTGAGACCATGGACTCGAACCGACGGCCTTCGGATGCATGGCCGCATGCTGGACACTAGACCAACTAGGCATCAATTGACACATTACTATAAAGTCAGGGAATTAATAACATTATCCTTGATTTCATACATTTAAATCTTTAAATTATTCACGAATATGCTTTCATCAAAAGTATAAACATATTTAAGTTGCAAATGGTAAGTTTAATATTGATGATGGGATTATTCATGCGTACACTTCAAGCCATAACAGACCAACCGTCTTTTGGAAGACGAAAACTTTGGAACAAAATGTCCTTATTTCTAGTTATTAGTTGTTTTTATATCTGTCCTTGTTTGTTTAATAATATTGAAAGTTTTGACGCAGTAATAAAATGTTACACTTTGCTCGTCTTTGTAATGTATATGTTTATACTCGTAAAGTACGAGTAGCTGAAGAGTTTGAACGCTTGTTTTTGAAACGACTCGTCTAATAAGAATTATTTTTTTTGCTTCTGGATATGGAAGGATTAAAGAAGTACACACAAGAAGCGACATGAAAAATCTATTTTTATGTGAATTCAGCCATCTTTTTAAGTTCCCACTCCTGGGTGTGTGCCTCTCTTTACTTATATAAATATATATACTAAGGATTATCTAATCATAGTCTAACACGCTGGCCAAGTGCGTGTTGGCGGACTTCACATGTCTTTCAAAGACTTGCTAGGTTCTCTCAGACATGCAGATTTCCACACAATGTTTTCCTTCACCGTGAGACCAGTGATAATCATATTGAAAATAATTCGGACTTGAAAATATAGGTGTGGGAGACCCGAGATTTGAACATACTTCACTTAGTTTCCTAAGCGAGTGCGTTGCTATTGGGCTATCACTGCCTTATTCTTATGTTATTATATATGAAATACAAGAAATTCAAACCAATTTTATATTTGTATGGATATTTACAGTCATACGCTTAAAAAAATGGAAAACCTATAGTTTTGAAACTATTACTTTTAGGAATGCTCTTGGTTTGTAAATGCAATTTCTCTTACCTTCACCTCTAATCCATGGTTGGACAGTTTATCCCATCCCGACAGAGTACGGTGGGATCAAGATCTGTCATTATGTCAGAGCATATTATCTCTAAATGGTTAGATAGATCTTTTCATAGTAAATGTTAACACAATAGTTTGTCTTGCACAGTTAAAAAATACATATAATTTTGGCTCCTTGTTTCTTAGATAATACAAAAAAATCTAATAGTAATGCAAAGAATTAAATTTAAGAGTATATTTTCAACAAAGATTTTCACCCTTTTAAGAGATGATTTTCGGAATAAAAAACATTCTTACAAAATTTCATCTAAATCGGTCCGGTAGTTTTTGAGTTTATTCGTTACAAACACACAAAAACACTAATCTTTCCTCTTTATAACAGTGTAGAAAAACCTTTAAAATCGATGAGATTATCAGGAACTTTTGCATTCATTTCCCACAAGTAATATTGACGAAGTATATTGTACTTAACTGGCACGCTTTAAACAAAACAATATTTACTTCCAAAAATTTATTTTTCACAACGGAACATATTGATACAGTATTTTTTATACAATAATCCAGCATTTACATATAGCGAAGTATTTTTAAATTTACAACTTAAATACATACATATATAAAATAAAACTAAATGTACTTAATATGATAGACATACAATTATTTCATATTAATTAAGATTTTAAGAAAAAAAATTAAAATTGATCATAGAAATGTATGGCTTAAGCCACATAATATATAAATATATTAATTCTTAATATCCATATAAAAAGCAAAAATCAAAATCGAATTGTTCAAAACTTCTAAAGTTTTAGCGATTACTCATATTGTAGATAACCCTTACTTCAATATATACCTTACATACGTCTATGTACATTGAAATGATACACTAATCTAAGAACAAACGAACAAAATTATCACACAGTGGAAAAACAACATTATTGTTATCACAAAACATTGGGGAGTGAGTTTTATTTATTATATAGTCTGATATGACTAGTTCGTGCTAAATATGTACAGCGGCCTTAACTTAATTATTCTATGTACATACAATATTACACCCAGAACAATGATTTAACGTCGAACTTTGATAATGCTGAAAGCAAATTATTTAAAACGATATTTAATATCGTCAGTATCTACTGGTGAACGCGGGTTCGATTCCGGAATAAGATAAATGTTTCTCTATATCACCAAATATTCAAACTTCGCCAAATGATTATAGCATGAAACTATTATAAATTCCTTTCAATTGCAAGTCAGTAATTCTTATATGAGAACTGAAACACTGAATACTTAAAAGGTTCGTAATTCAAGTACACGTCACGCCATGCCAGCGAGGATTGTCAGTGCTAGAGCAAATAGGGGTCCAGCGAGGGGTCCAGCGAGGGGTCTCAGAGGTCCAGGGGGTGTCTGAGGGGCCGCACTCGCAAGGGGCCAGCCGTCACCCCAAGGGGACTCCGGGCCCCGCAACTCAGGTCACATCGTCGTTACCATTTCTGTTAGGAATTATTATTTAAATTAGTTTTTTTTTTATAAATCAGTGTGCTAGTATGGCAAAGCTTTTTAGTAACTGACCGTACGTTTTATTTAAGCTTATTTTTAAATGATGATGATAATGATGATAATCTCCTAGCCGATTCCGGCCACGGCAGCCAATCTCATTGAGACTAGCCAACTGCGCAGGAGATATTATAGTGCACAAGTGTACGCGCAGACACAAGTGCACTGTCTATTCCTGTCACTCTCATACTCCGGTGGGACGACTGCTCGACCCAACCAGTGACAGTTAAGGCGCAGGACCGACGGCTTTACGTGCTCTCCGAGGCACGGGGGTGAAACACCACCAACTTCCCAACTCCGGGCTGTTACTGAGACTTACTATACAGAAATACTCAATAACTAAACTTTTCCACATTCGGGACTCGAACCCAGGACCTCCGAGTGTGCAACCGTACATGCTAGCCACTACACCACCGAGGAAGTTGAACTTTAATATCATACCATAAAGTTTAAGTGTTAGTAGATGGGTTACGGAAAGGCAAAACAATTGAGTGACGTTAGTATCGTATAAATATTATTAATGTCAATATTATTAACAGAAAAAAAATTATATGGCTAACGCTGGCTAATAACTATTTATATATATTTAAAACGTACCTAGACGAAACGACGAACCCGAGCGAAGCGAGGGTGAGCCGCTTTTAAGAATAAATCACTACAGCTGTCATCATTTTCACGCTCGGTCCTTTTATTCATACTTTTACCTATTTTAACTTATTTACCATAGTCCTATACTAGTTTTCATTAATAATAATGCCCTAATATGCCCTAGATCATTATCACTGCTATGATCACTAACCTAAAACTAAATTTTTACACTGTAGATAATTATGGACCACACATTTTCAAAGTATATTTAAATAACTCACAGATAATGACGCAAGTTTTACGTCAGGTTGGATTTTATAGTACTTTTCGAGCTTTATATTAAAAAAGAACTTTAGAAGTAATGAGATTAGTTATGTATGGTAATTTTATTAGCTTTCAAAAGCTACCTGTGAAGAAATGACAAGCTTAAAACTTATATTTTTGTACTCATATATTTTTAATAACTTTTTTATGGGCAGATAAGTCTTTTATTTTTAAGGTTCCGTACCCGAAGGGTTCCAACGGGATCCTATTACTATGCCTCCGTCCGTCTGTATTTCATGAACCGTAATAAGTAGAGAGTTGAAATTTTCAGAGAGTGTGTATTTCTATTGCCGCTATAACAACAAATAAAAATAAATAAAAACTAAAAACACAAAAATCTTTTTTTTAACATTCGCAATCAATCATCGAAGTTAATATACTAATTCATGACTAATACATAGAGTAAAGGTCATATTACTAAAAAGTACATGTAAGATGGTACGGAACCCTTCGTGTGTGAATCCGACTCGCACTTAACTGATTTTGAAGAAATAACCTAAAAAATAGAAACTTAAAATTTTCATAATTCCTTTTATATCGAATAGGTTTTATATAAATCAAGGGCGATCTCATATAAGTTTTAATAAATCTATGCCTAAGCTTTGAATAAATTTATTTTTAAGTTATTTTTCAAATTAGTAGATTTTTTTTCCTAATTAACAAATATTGTTATTGTACCTGGATATTTATTTTTCGTTTAACTTAATATTTTACAGGAAACTTTTATGAATTAATAATATATTTGGTACTAACCAAGGTTCTGCATTTGGTGTTGACTGAGCACGATGTAGTTGTTTTCATGCGTTGGATCTTCCATCACCCCGCGGTGAAGTTGCTCGAGATGCCTTTCAGCGTCAACTAAATTAGGGAAGGAAAAACAATACATGTAATACTTTCTTAGATTTACACGAATATTTGACTTTTTAAATAAAACTATCTTTTCGGGTTTTTAGCGGGTTTATAATCTATCTATTCTAAATGAAAACCCCCGTTTAGTTATTTTTACATTTTAGTGCCTGGAAGTCGGTTTTTTTTATTAGTTTTTATTTTCATATTCTTAGTGTAGACGTAATAAACAGGTAATTTGTAGCAAGAAAATTTTTAATAACATATTCGATTAAACAATTTGTTTAAAAGAAAATATGTATTGTTAATGTTAATTTTTTTTAAAACGCTCGACCGATTCCGATAAAATTTATATGGGACCACCTGGAAAGTATACCCTTTCAAACAAAACAAAAATTTTCCAAATCGATTCAGGCGATTTCGAGTAATCGGTGAACATACATAAAAAAAAGATTCCGACGAATTGAGAACCTCCTCGTTTTGGATGTCGGTTAAAAAATTGATGAACTTCCATGCCTTCAATGTTTCGTAGGAACTGCTGTTACTTGAGATTTAAGCTGTAAATTTTAAATGTAATTAAGCTTCATTTGTTTAATATTAAAACTTTTTATGACTCCATTCTAAGGAGATAAAATTAGAGTATTATTCTGTAACTTTAGCAATAACAGTAATTAACGAATAAACGTAACGGCAGCGTCAAGCGTTGTAATATCTAGGCAGAGATAACATCGTAATAGCTAGTTCTCATATTAGCGCAGTCGTTTTAAGCAAATTTTTAATTAGAAAAGTTATATAGAGTTTTTTACATAAGATACAGAAAAATAATACTTTTTTAGATTTACGCGAATATTTGGAATTTTAAATAAATCTATCTTTTCGGATTTTTTCACAGATTTATTTTAATTTTCATTTCCCGACGTTATAGTTGTGATTGTTATAATATTATTTACATGTAAAATGAGATTAACACAAGATGTGTCGGAGATAAAGATAATGTATTTTTTCCAATAAGCTTTATGACAATAAAGTAACAGATTATAAAGAAATTCCTATAAAAGGGATTATTAATCTGGATTAGCTTATATAGCTACCAAATAAATTGGTATAGGTACAAAGAATGCTTATCTATACATATAATAAAATTCGAAGTCGAATTTGTATATTAAATATTTCTTTTAAAATTTATTGAAATAATCATTATTATCGATACAGAGGCCGAATCTAAAGTTTTAAATTTTTTGTCTGACTGTCTGGGACGCATCACGCGAAAATCACTGAACAGATTTTAATGAAATTTGGTATGATGTTAGCTGGTTATCCAAGTCAATATTTAGAATACATTTTACTGTGGTAAAATATCTAATTTCTGAGAAATCTACACTAAACGTTAAAACGTACCAAGGGACGAACCCGAGCGGAGCTAGAGTGATTCGCTAGTAATAAATTTAAAAATGCGGAATACGGAAAATAATAAGACTTAAACCCTTATCTTGTTTTATTATCACAACCCAATATTTTTTCTGCTTAACCGTGTATGTCACATTAAACATTATATTTATAAAAACTCGTAAAAATGTAATTCCTGTTATACATTTACACGTGAATCGTATATTAGTAATGGCATATTATATTAATTCCAAGTAAGTGAAAATGAACACGCTAAAAATGCGTATGTGTGCGCGTGCGTTTGTGCATGCCTGTGCGTGTGTGTGTATGTGTGTGTGTCACGTTGAAGCTGTTGCACCTCAGCAAAGCCAGGGTGTCGATACTAATAAGTATATTTAAAATTTTGAGAGTGTAATAAAATAATTTCACCAGATATCTTAAAATCAATGACAAATTCAAGTCACGTTATATCATTTATCATTTTGCGTACACGCGCGTATTTACGAGTTTGGGCGTGCTCGTAAATCTATTCACGTCATTTTGCTTTGGACGTGAAACTGTCGTTCCTTGCCAGCGGTTTACTTCCAAACAAGTAGGTCGCCTTTTAATGCATCTCTTAGTGAGTATATAATATTATGTGCTAAATGTTCGTCAAACTTGCATAGCTCTTAAGTTTTAAAACAAGTCTAAGACCTGAATTATATAGTATCTATACAGTAGTAACTATTAGTTAGTACACTTATGTAATGGAAGAGCGGTTTCTCCTAACACAAGTGCTTGTGCGCCTAAAAGGAGGTCCCAATCACTTATCAGCTATTGTAAAATTTTTGAGATAATAAATAAAAAAAAAAATTATGGTCCTCTTTTACCTTTACTGGTTACGAGATGAGAAGTTTTTTATATTAAACATTTTTTTATACTTAAACCACCCCAATACACCCCCAACAAAACAAAAAAAGAGTTATTCAAATCGGTCCAGCCGTTTTTGAATTTTAGCGAAACCAACTAACGGCGATTGATTTTTATATATATAGATAATAAAAGTACTTAAAAATTCTGGATTTATTACTAAAATTTGTTTTTACAGTATATATAGTCTTACTTATTTAGTCGAAAAAATGTATACTACATTTATTTCATACCAAATACATGCAAATGGTTATTTTGTAAACTTTTAATTAGTGAGTAAAGTCCAAAAGCAAGTTCAATAAAAAATGTTATTTTAGTATTATATATAGCAATATAAATGCATGAAATTCACGGAAATCATCTGTTTGTTAAAGCAGTATATTTAAAATGACCCTTGGGCCAATGTATACTAATATTATAAAGAGGCAGTTTGTTTGTTTCTTTGTTTGTTTGTTTGTTTGAACGCGCTAATCTCAGGAACTACTAATCTGATATGAAAAATTCTTTTTGCATTAGATAGCCCATCATGCTAATACCCAAAGGAGCGGAACAGTAATCATAAATGTCAACAAATCCGGCAGACTTCCATCAATTATTGTAAAACTATACATAATAGATACGAACTCCAGCGAAGCGAGGGTGAGTCGCTTGTATGAAAATAAATAAAAGAAAAAAACCGAGATAATAGGAATGTGCTATTTATTTATTACCTTATTATAAAAAACCTCTTTTACTCGTAAAAGGTATTTACTTTTACGTCTACTATATTTGGTATTTTAAAGGAAGGTGGTTGTGAAAGCTAGTTAGCGACTCTATTCACTTATACATCGACCGTTGACTTCATTCCGAAAATTCAAAAACATTTTACGTTAGAATATACCTCAGTTCCTTTCATTGGTAAAATTTTTAACGAAATTATTATGAACCGTGCTCTTAATTAAATACCTATTTTGTATAAAGAAATATTTTTCCTGGTTTTTGGTTGAATGAGCACAATATTTAGGTCTTTTTTCTATTTCTACTGAACATAATAATTTCTTGACTCCTTATCAAAAGAAAATAAAAGTTAATATAAAATATAACAAAAGATCAGATATTTTAACAAGGTAAAAATAGGAGGTTGTAAAATGATGTTTGGGCGGATTTTTTGTGTTTTCTTTATCGTATATTTTTAAAGAGAATACGATAACGAGGTGGTCTCATACACATACTATAGTAATGAACTAACGACAAGCTCCAAAGTTGAACTGTGAAATATATAAATGCTATTTTTTTCACAAAACATAGAACTTTAGCGTCAATTAAAATAAATATTTTTATGTAAGTTTTTAAAATTGGCAGATTCGTTATAAATTATTATAATGTAATGATTATTTTATAAATTATTCAACCCAATCATCAATTAAATTATCGATTATATAATTAATCGAAATATTAATTATTAATATAACATTCTTATACTTACAAGGTATTAACGTGGTTGTTGGTTGCGGCGTTGTCGTGGTCGTGGTTGTTGTTGTTGTAGTCGTTGTGGTTGTAGTTGTTGTGGTTAACACTGAAAATGACTTGTGGTTAGGGATTAAATAATTAATAAATTAAAAATATTTATATAAATAATTATTGAAAGTATAAAAAATTAAGTATTAACTTGATTTAGTTTTTTAATAAGTATTTATATTTTGAACATTTTGAAACCTACAAAGTGCTTATAAATATTTGTTCCAAGTAGGAATAAAATTCGATACCTTTATTACTGTATTACCGTTGCGAGATTAAAAAATTAAAGTAAGCCAACAAAACATTAATTACTGGGGATCATCACGAACTACAAATTATTTATTCAAGTAAATATTAAAAATTAACTACATATTTACAATTGCTTAAACGTACCCGTTTAATCCATTATTTAATCGATTTAATTTAAAAAGGGATTAATTAATTAATGTTTGTTCATATTATAATTAAAATTGGTTATCAAATTTTCGAATAAGTTTACGAAATGTAAATTTTTCTCGATCATAATTGACAATTTCAGAGTGCGTCCTCAGACTATCATTCATCAGTGATGACAAAAATATTGACACCTCATTTTTTACAATTTTATGCCGCTGTTTTTTTTTAAATATAAAATGTGTTCAATGAATATTACTATAGAATATAGGTATATAAATTAAACAAAATGGAGGTACATTAAAATTTACTAATGTATTAAGTACTAATTGAGGCCAATATTATTCTAACTGAAAATTCGATACATTATATTTATAATACTCATGTATATTGTACATAATATATGTATACTCCTAAATTATTATACAATTTTATGAGCAGATACCGTCTGTGCAATTATACAAAACCTTAGTCTCTCCGTGACCATGTAAAAATATGCAAACATGTAAAGCTTAAAAAAAAGTACAACAAAATCTGATAAATCCGTGAAGTTTTATTTAAAATGTCAAATAATAATCATTCATAACTCATAACTCTAAGTGAGTATTAAAATATAAACTTACTATGTAAGAACAGCTCCGCCTGCGCCTTGCCAAGGCTGTTTTCTAAGACACAACGATACGCGCCCGCGTCGCCTCGAGTCATAGAGCCTAGTTGTAGGGTCGCAGTGTGCCGGTAGCCCCGCGAGGTCTTGCTGAGTCTATACTTAGTTCCTGATGGTAAAATAATTAAGAATTATATTACATAATACTTTCTTAGATTTACGCGAATATTTGACATTTTAAATAAAACTATCTTTTCCGATTTTTTCGCGGATTTATTTTGATTTTTGGTTTCCTTCCAACCAAAAATCAAAATAAATCCGCGAAATAATCCGAAAAGAGAATTTCCTTTAAAATTATGTTACACTTTTTATTTATTTATTTTTCGGAAGCAAGCCGTATGTAAAACATTTACAGAAAATACATAAAAGAGCTTATTCACCAATAAAGTATCCACTAATATACAATATATCATGTTAATGAGTAGTTACATAAGAAATATATTAAAATTAAAAAAAAACCCCTGACCTTAGATTATTAGACATATAAATAATCTAAGACTTTGATATGTAATTCGCCATTTTGTGGTAGCGGCCATCTTGGATTTGAAAAATATCATAGTTTATAGTATTTTACTAGTCAATTCCTTTCATTTGATACCCATATTGAGGGATTTGTGAAAAAAAATATGTAATCCGCCATTTTGTGACGGCGGCCATCTCGGACAGATTTTCATCAAACTTAGCTATGAACACTCCGACTAATTCACCTTTCAAACAAAAAAAAACAAAATCGAAATCGGTTCATCCGTTCGGGAGCTACGATGTCACAGACAGACACACACACAGAGCCGTCAAACTTATAATACCCCGTCGTTTTTGCGTCGGGGGTTAAAAAACCAGTAAAAATGAAGTATGAAAATCAAAATTAGTGAAGTTTTTATTATACCTACTTATTACATGCCCGAAATATAAAAGTATTTTAAACATATTTAGTTCTCCTTGGTGGGATACAAAACAATGATTTATTTCTAGTGTTAAGAAGGAGTAAGTTACTTATTACTTTATTATAATAATGTTATTACTGCTGCTGCTTTGTTTAATAAAAAAATAAGATTATATGACTAAGAATATATGTAGGTATATAAGAAACGATGTATATAAGAAACGATTCGAAAAGAAATATTCTTTATCAGCAGTGACAGACAAACACTTTTTAGTGGAATGTTCGTAAAATCTAATGCTCTTTTCTAATAACGCTAAAATCATATTTAAATATATTCATCTCTTATATATACGAAAACCATATTTTAGTTGATGTGGCACTAAATAATCATCTAGCCACAGATACATTATTTAGGATAATTTTCAGATTAAATCGTATTTTGGAGGATGAATAGAATATTATAATTAACTAGCGGACCCGACAGACTCCTGTCTACACGTCTTTAATTTGAAAATTTCAAACATATTTTAATAATTTTTTTGATGAAAATTATTATTTAAATTGTGAATCTAAACCATTCCCAGATCCCCTTGAACACACACAAAAAATTTCATCAAAATCGGTCCAGTCGTTTGAGAGAAGTTCAGTGACATACACACTCACAGAAGAATTATATATATAAAGATTTTACAAATAAGTTTATGAATTTTCGTGTACATTATTAGCCAAAGTCTAAATTATAAATGTTAAAACTAATTTATTAATTTGCTTATTTGGTCCAGTGTCTAAGACAGACTTCCTATTACTATCTATTTAGCTAGTCTCGTAAAATAAATAATTAAATTCATTTTTTTTATTTAAACGCACTTGTCTGTGAAATTAGCATTCGCTTAATAAAACGCTGTGTCGCTTAAAAAAAAGCTGTTATGCTATCAAACATCACGCAAGAACTTTTAGGATCGAAATAACTTAATAAATATTAACTACTCGAGCAAAGCCGCGGTAAAGCTAAATAATTTGATAATAAATTATTTTTTAATAGAGATTCGCGAGATTAGACTATTTAGGGTCAATTTTACAAATTCAACAAATTTAAATATAACAACTCTATAGGAGTATAATGTCGCTTAATGGGAAAAGCAAAAAGAAACTCCATTTAATTTCCCACACCAAATAGAAAGTTAAGGTCGAATAAAATATAACAGACTATAAGATCGGTTATTACTATTTTCGGCTATAATATACAAATGAAGATTAAACGCAATGTGTAAACGAGTTGGCTCTTATTATCGAAATCAATCAAGCATCGGACATGTTGGCGACTGTCCAGACTTAGACGGTCTACGAATGATAAATGACGTTAGCGATTATCCGGTGAAGACATTTTAAAAACCCCCGGATATTTTGTCAAAGCTGAAATGCTCTTTTAAGTATTGTTTATTGTTTGAGTTAATTTATACAAATGTATAAATAGGCAAATACAAAACAGTTCAGTAAATTTTTCTCATCTGTTTTTTAACCCATTATAACCTAGTGGTGCCGTTTGGCACCCAATTCTAGCTATTTATATTTTCGCACCATACACGCGCCTCAAACAGTGAAGCCTGTGAAGTGAAGGTGATTGGCTATCGATGCGATGCTAGAGTAACATAGCTAACAGTTTTAATACTTTATTTCAACTGATGCACTTGTTAAGATCGGCATGACTGTCAATAAATAAGTGTTGTGAAATTATTGGCAAAAATGGATTTACCTTTCAAGTCAGAATGTTATAATTTATTTATTTTGTGTAATATATCATTGAAATGCATTTTGTTTTATTCGTATATATTTATTTGACTAGAGTGTAATGTAATTTTATCCAGTTTTGTCTGCGTATTTCGTTTAACATACGTCAAAAGTTACGGGTGCCGCATGGCACCTCTAGGCCGATATGAAGTCATTTCAAATTATGTGTGACAATGTTTATTTTTTGATTTTTCCGTGTGTAACAGTATTTACTTATCGTAATAGGGGTTGTTCATTACACAAGGTACTTACTAGCCCTACTAGAAGAACATGAGGATCTTGAACAGCGGTTGCTTTATATTGTACCCCAAGAACCGGCAATCGACTCTGATCAAGATTCGAGCGACAAAGAAGGGGGTGATCCAATAAATTAGCGAATCACGTCGCAAATGTGTTTTTGAGATGTATAAGGCTCAAACGAGACTGCAATGCATCGAATGTGACGTAGGGCTCTGTGCATCCTGCAGTTTCATGTTCGTATGTAAATTACAAAACTAGGGGTACTAATATTACATCATTTGATAAAATAAATACTCTATTTTATTTATTCACTCCTACATTACTTTAAAACTACATAATTTTATTAATAGATGGTAAAATATGTTAGCTGATGATAAGTTAATACATACCTTATAGAAGGATGTAAGCCTACGAATGAGCCTAGCGGTGCTGTATGGCACCCATTGCTTTTTCTAAAACTGATAAATCACTTCATCTTTTAATGGTAAAAAATAACTTAAGGGACCTTTAATAAGAACATATCAAAAAATTATCCAATTTTAAGCTCGTAAAACAATTCATGTCATAATGGGTTAAGCGTTTTTTTTTTGTTTAGTAGGTATAGATGAGTTTTAGTACTCAACAAAAAAATTTTGGACACAGTTTATATAGATATCTAAAGACTTTTTATATACTCGTATGTATTTCTAAAATTTTCGATTATGATTATGGTTAGCAGTAATCGAACACTAGCTTTTTTTAAAACTGTATATTCTTAAAGAATGGCAATTAACCCTTAGACCAGTTAAGAAATTTTTTAGATAATTGCGACTCGATATCATAAAAAATATATACGTGTCGAATTGAGAACCCCCTCCTTTTTTCGTCGGTTAAAAATGATATAAGTAATAATTGGTTTTCAATAAGAAACCATAATAATATTATTCTATTAATTATATTTGCATCTACATGAAAGTTAAAATATGGGAAAACCAAACGTAAGATATAAAATAAAAATTCAATATTCCTTTCTCAATTTTCCATTCCGTTTTCTTTAAGCCTAAGAAATAATTGAATTTGCACCTCAAAGCTCATACCAATTGATTCTCAGATTTTAGAATGAAAATATGTTAAACTACTGACCCGTCCTTGCTTCGTTCAAGCGCGTCTAAACGATATTTTTTTGGTACAAAAATCGGTTGAATAAAATAAATAAAAGTAAATTATGTATCTTTTCGGCTCACTAACTGTTATAGATATCAAAACAAGTTTTGTTTACAAAATTACTATATTTTCCTTTGTTAAAAAGTTATTTTTTATTTGAAAATAAATTCAAAGACAAGCATCGTTTTATTATACTAACTATTGTATGCCGTATAATATTACGTTATGTAAACAAAAAATATATAATAGAAAACATACTTTCACGTTTATAATATTAACTATCAAGCATAATTTAATTGCCTTGTTAGTCTAGTGGCTAGCTTATACGTTTCTGGACCGTGAGATCCTAGGTTCGAGTCGCAGTTCGGGCTAAAATGGTAACTGCTAAACTAACTGCTAACTGCTGGTAAAATGCTAACTGCGGGTAAAATACTTGTAGTTGTTATTATTATTAAAAGTCGTTAGAGACGAAGAGTTTCCGTGCGGCGAAGAACAGTGGCCGCGTATAGAAAAGCGTAATATGGGCAGATCTCCCGATGGATCGACGACTTGGTCTTTGCTGAAACCCGCTAGATACAGAAAGAAAGACCGGCACTCGTGTAAATCTATGCGGGAGATCTATTCGCAGCAATGGATGTCTTAAAAACATGGTTTGTGATGGTTATGATGATGATGATAATGGCGATAATGATGATGGTAATGGTGATGATGACGGTGATTATTATACGGTGGTAGTAATTTACCTACCATTGATCAATCTCTGCTCCCCATTCAGTATCCAGTGTACTTGTGGCGCGGGGAAAGCTTCGCCGGTACAAGACAAAGTGACGGCAGTTCCTGCGAGTGCGCGCAGAGCCGCACGTCCCGCCCACACCGTTGGTGCGACTGAAAAACCACAATCTGTATAAAATTTGCTACTTTACCAGCATGAAATTTAGCTTTTTTAGTATGTATATAATATTTTTTGGAATAAATAATATGTAGTATATTATATTTTTTGGAAAATGTATTAAGCAATGTCTGAGAAAAATAAATAATATATCTTAATTTTAAGTAAAGTAATTATTGAATTTGGTCGACTCTTCTTTCTGCTAAATGCATTTAGAGCCGATGATAGCTTTCTTATGGACTGCCGCCACTAACATTAGTTCTACGCCGTACATCCGCCACTCACAATATTGTAGTATCAAAAATTCTTGTCAAACTTTATTAAAACAAAACATAATTTTGAATTTTTATTTATCACATGATACGTATAAACTAACATACATTTACAATAAATTGATAATATAGATATTTAATATGTTTCTATGAGAACCATAGAAGATTAATCTAAAACAATATCAATTCAAAAAGATTTTTTTCAGCACCAAAAGTGGCACTTTGTGCAACGCGTCGAAGCCGACGGAGCGCGTTATTTCCTTGTCAGTGGCAATTTCATTTGGACATGCGCTCTGAGTGAAGCCACACGATTTAATTTTGAGTTTCAGTGATTGGATTTTATACGTATTTTTAAATCTAATATGTTACAACTTCTTTACAAATCCAAAATCCGTCCGTCCGTAATAATGAATATATATGAATTTTTACAACGCTTAAAATATTTGAAGTTTCTTCCTTTTTTGAAGTTATACTTCTTTTGGGACTTCTTAAGTGCGTACACAAGTATAGCTTTTTTCATCTTGCACGTTTGACTGTTATATGCAGCAAGAAAAGTGTTACTCAATAAATTAATTTAAATGCACTGCATAATGTATGAAAAACCTTAAACTTTATACATAGCTTATACGAAGCTTAATATAGAAAATTATTGAATTAAATTACATAATTGAGACTCACACATGACATTTATTTGTATCCTCTTGCTGACAGACGGTGGGACGCCGTTTGTCGCTATACAAAGATAAGCGCCTGACGTCACCCGCTCTATCCCAGTGAGATTTAACCACTCTCCGCTGTGTTTTGAAACTGAAACAATACCTTAAATTAATGTATTAAGTTGACAATTGTATTGAAGTTGAAATTAATTTTATTTAAATTCGTTAAATAATTGAATTATTTAACGAAAATGATTGATGAACCTATAAGAATGATATAACGGAATATAAAGTATTCTACATTTTACTCAAAGATGTAGTTCATCTGATGGCCAAGTTTTATCCCAATTTGTTCACAGATTTCTGTAAAAATATCCAAATATATGTATGAAATTTCATTTTCTTAATAGTAGTATTATTAAGTAACGAATACGGTTCATAAGATTATATTATATTGTTATGTTGTTTTAGTACTACTTAATGATATTTCAAATTTAAAATTCCTATAATATTTCTCTGAGGCAACTGAAAACCCGTTACCTTAGAGATCCCACCGTGCGTCTTTCCGTCCGTCTCTATGGAGACTATCCTAATTACTGTTTATGATGTTTTTATTTGTTTGCTATATAGAATCGGTCTTTTGAATTGAACAAAAAGTAAATATAATGTTTCAAACAAAATCAAACTTGTGGCAAACCTCATACGCTCGATTGTGAATCACTTGGCAAAATCTTGTACAATAAATATTAATCATACAGACATAAAAAGCTGTATTTCCTAACAAAACTTGGACAGTTCATCAAAAAGTTTGAAGAGGGCAAAGTTGAGTGGTTAGAGTTGAGTATAAAAGTAGTGACACAAAAACTCTAATGTATCCGTAACCATTAAGGAAACGGAGATACTCGTATTTTCCTCGATGTGTTGGCACGATTTTAACGTTTTTACCGTCGTTAAGCAAATGGAAGAAAATAAAGTCACCAGATACATACACGGTTTTTACCATTTTTTATTTAAAACACCTTTAAATACTGTGATGATGATTTTGTTTAAATATTTCAAATTTTAAAAGTATTACACAATCTGTTTGTAGTTGAAGTCTATAAACAGTTTAGTGATAAAAAAATGAGATTAGTAATTTTATAACGTAGAATAATATAATTTTTACATATTTTAATATTTTAGGCAAGCGGAGGAAGGAAGGAAAAAAGAAACAACAAAGGAAAAAATTATCATGGCTTTGTCTTCTCTACATAACTTTTATGTTACATTTCATTTTAATAATGATATCAATTTGAGATCAATATCGATAGCTATGACTCTTGATAAGCTCTGCCTGGCATCGACATATTTCACAACTCTTATGCTGCCTTTAAAAAAAAACTCACCAATCATCTATCGGTGGGTCTTCATTTACATTGAAATAAATATATATGTATATTCTTTTTTCCTTTCTCCCCTCTCAATTTTTACATATATTTATTGGTGAATGTTATGTACACTAGTTATTGATATACATATCTTAAAAAATATATAGAAAATATATTTTTTAGATATGAATATCAATATAATAGATAAATAAAAAAATAAAAAATAATTAATTACTCATATCAATATGATAAACTTTTTAAGTATTAGTACGATTTTAGTACATATTGCCTTTTGTGTTAATAAACATAGTTATTCTATTTATTTTTTGGTAATTGTCGTCGTAGTTTATAAACTTATACGTATTTTGTATACATCTTATCTTACTAATATTATAAATGTGAAAGTTTAGATGGATGTTTGGATGTTTGTTACTCATGCCAGAACGGCTGAACGTACTCGTATCTGGATGAAATTTGGCACAAATATAGATTATAGTCTGGAATAGCACATTTTTTATCCCGAAAAAATGTACGATCCCCGTGGGATAGACTTTTTATTTATTATAATGATTATAAATTTATACGTAATGTATTAGTATAAAAGTATATATTTTTTTCTTATATATAAAGCCATAAAAGAGGCATAGTGCCTCGGGCGCAAGATCGGCGTGGTCGGCGGCGAGTTTTGAGAGGTGTGCACCAGTTTCACCATTGTGAGAGTGCTCGTAAGCGGATTTCACTTTCGAGCACTTGGCTTTTGCGCTCTATTCTGGACGGCCAATGAAGGTAAGCCAGCTCGGGAGGTCTCAATTCCGTGGTGTCACCAGTCACCACTCACACAAGCTGCCCTGTGGGCTTATTATTATTATTACACTGCTACACACAGTGCCCTACAATTTAATAGATGACTAACTAATTTGTGATGTTGTGTTATTTTTAAAAGCATATTTTTTATTATCATGTTTTATTTTCATTTCAGTATTACAGTCAATATTTGCTATTACAACTTAATATTTTAATGTTGCCTTTCATTAATTGCTTATTAGAATATGTTTTTGTATTAAAAATTAACTTATAATTAAAACTTGTATAATAGATTGGTAGCAAATTTAAAAAGTCAAAGTGATCATGAAAGTCATATTATTACACTCGCTTACTGAAAATTAAGATTCTGGCAACAAAAGATGCCCATCCTGAGAAGAACTTGGACCAGTAAAAGTACTTGTAGTTTCAAGTTTTTGAGTACGTTTCCTTGAATTTTTCTCTTTGGACTTTCTCAAGTTATTTGAACGCGGTGAGTTCAGAATTCCTGGCAGACTCGCTCTGCGATTGTAAGCACAAGACGAGCCCTGATTGAGAGTAAACTGCTCTTACTAGAAAACTTACGACTAAAGTTTGTTTGAAATAGCAAAGTTCAACATCGTTCTTAAACAAAATTATAATTGCTTTCAACTTTTTTTGGTAGTGATAGTTATAGATTGTTAATTTTACTAAGGATTTTTTTTTACTTAGTTACGGACTAGTTTCTTTTAATTTAAGTTTTATTATATTATTTTCTATCGGAATTCATAATTTTCAGATTAAGTTTAAGCTTAAAATATTTTTTTAACTTATTTAACAAGTTTTAACCTTCACATTTCTATCTGAAATAAGATAGGTACTTTACTTTGTATAATTTGAATTTGCGTAATATATAAAAAGTGTTTTTATATTTATTTATTTTTCTATGAAAAATGTTATATTTGAGAATTAAGTAAAAATGCACCTGAAAGATATTTTCTTTTATTTTTCAATTTGTGATGTATTCATACATAATATCGATATTGCTTTGCTTTGCATCAGCTGGCATCGACTTCGATAATATCTGGTTAGTCAAATGTAAATAAAAATCCCAGTTTAGGTATTTTTACTTTTTAGTGTCAAGAAACCGGTGATTTTTTAATTTATAAAGGTATTTTTTTTTTAAAAAATTACCTGATTTGATTGATTTGATTTGAAATTTACAATTTACAAAGTTTCCTAATCATAATTTTATTCATATTTAATAAATGTACTACTTTGAATTCATTACAATAATTACTTTTTAAAGTCACTTGAAAAGAAGTTATTCCGAATTTCGAAATAATTTTTTTTCTTTAAGTAAGATTATATAATATGGAACAACTTTTAAGGTTTAGTTTAATTATCAAAGACAGGAATAATTAAAATAGTGACACAGTAAAAATATACACCCGATTTGAGTAAGCCCTCCTTTTTGGAAATCAGTTAAAATTCTAGTAATTGCACTATTATTTATCCAAACGAATATAATAAGTGCCAAAGTAACTCTATCTATTACTTTTCTACGCTTAAGCTGCTGAACAAATGTAGATAAAATTTAGCAAGGACAGAAATAGCATCCCAGATCCGGACATATGCTAGGATATAAATCCCTTTGATCCCCGCCCCACTTACAACGAGAGCGAAACCGAGAGCAAATACTAGTTTCATGAAATTTCAGTTTTATTTAGGTCTACACAATATTTTTTTCATACCATCATCAACCCTATAAGAGATTTTATTATGGACTAGTTCTTGCCGCGGCTAGTTATAGCTACTTCGATAGAGAGTATCGTACAACTATGTTATTCGCAGACATATACGTAATTTATCTCCATTCAGAATTTCACTTAACTCCCTCGAGCCCTTACAGCGTGAAAAATTAACAAGCCCGCTCACTCACTCATTCGCTCAATCATTCACTTACAAATGGTGGGATATGGCCTGATCCCCCTCGTATTGAAGTAGATCTCCCTTGCCCAGCAGTGGGATGTTAAAGGACTGAAAATATATGTGACTAAAGCCTATGGTAAAATTGTGTGCTCATCTAGTGTATTTATGTTATTACATAAATATATTATGAAGAATCGGTGTATTAGTACGTGGAAGTAATCTCAATTCTCAGCGCATACTATGGAGACAATGACGATACTGTTGAGCTTTAGTGGAAATATTCGTAAGCAGTCGTCGTCTCAGTGCTTATTTGTCTAAATAGTCAACGTACCGGAAGACTTTTTAGTAGAGAATTAATAAGTTCTAAATGTCAATTCTATTGGTATTAATATATTAATTATATTTATTTTTACTTTAGTAAAACCGAAAAAATGTATTTTATCTATATATGTAAATAAATCTTAGAAATAAACCTTTGTTTAAAAATAAAAACTTTTAAAGAAATATAAAAAGCGACTTCCAGGCACTAAAATGTAAAAAATACCTAAATGGGGGTTTTCATTTAGAATAGGTACCTATCAGATATTTTCGAAGTCGGTGCGAGCCGATGCAAAGCAAATCTAATATATTTCGATACGTAAAATTCATATTTACCTATTAGATATTCATATCATAAAATATTGCAGGCTCGAACCCGCGACCGCTGACACAGCAAGTAGGGTCACTACAAAATGAGCCAAATGTGTCATCTAATGGGTTAGTAATAAGATTTACCAAAAGCTGGCAAGGTAGTCCATAGTCTAGATATAATAAAATAATTATAAACAAACTCAATTCCAAATATACTCGTATTTTCAACCGACTTCAAAAAGGAGGAGGTTCTCAATTCGACTGTATGTTTTTTTTTTTTTTTATGTTTGTTACCTCAGAACTCCGTCATTTATTAACCGATTTGGACAATTTTTGTTTTGTTTGAAAGGGTATACTTCCAGATTGGTCCCATTTAAATTTCAAAAAAAAAAACCACCCCTAAGGGTGGAAAAACAACTAATGATGAATTTAACCTACTTCTAATTGTCATATTGACTTGAAACTTTGCAAGTATTTCTATTTCCGTTGATAGTACAGTGGTTCGGTGTTGTTGACCTGATCTGATGGCAAGGCCAGAAGGTGGATAGGTGGAACTCTTTAACGGCTAATAGTAGATACTTTGAGTTTGGGCTTATTTTGTTTGATTTGACAAGCCTAACACGTTAGAATCCTTACTATGCTACTACTGTCTACACTAAAAAGGGAAAAATAAAAACTTTTTAACAAAAAAATAAAAACCGACTTCAAAAAAAAAAGCACTAAAAAGTAAAAAATAACTGATTGGTAGTTTTTATTTACTATACATACCTAATCAAATATTTTCGAAGTCGGTGTGCTTTGGCTAAGCAATTAAAGCCTACCTATTAAATACATACCTAATCAAATATTTTCGAAATTGGTGCCAGCACATACAAAGCAAAGCACACCGACTTCGAAAATATTTGATTAGGTATGTATAGTAAATGAAAACTACCAATCAGTTATTTTTTACTTTTTAGTGCTTTTTTTTGAAGTTGGTTTTTATTTTTTTGTTAAAAAGTTTTTATCAAATAATTTCTTTCTCAAATTGACTACTATTATTATACTTGATATTATCATTGTAAATTATAGATATGTAAATTTATATATGTGTAGTGTATCAACTATCTGGTATCCATAACACAAGCCTCGTAGCTTACCATGGAACTAGATAGTGCTGTGTGTTAATGTCCGAATATATTTATTTATATGTAGAAAAAAAATATTATAAATCATAGTTTCATATTTGAAATACTTATTAAAGTCAGCATAAAAATATAGATACAAAGTTTGCACTACTTTTATATATGAGTTAAAGATTCAGTATTACCAACGTGGCAACAGTAGAAAACTTTAAAAGTGACAAACCGTACGTAAAGTTTGTTTGAGCCTGAAATGCAAATTAGCTGAGTTTACATTCAATTTTCAACCACTGGCTGCAAAGTTCGTCTTTGTTTACAAACCACTGTTTCTACCTATACTGTGTTTTTGCTTACTACTACCATATTATTATCTGAAACACAAATGGTTACTATGCGGCGTTGTATAGAACTTTACTTCGAATGGGCTATTCTCCAACATAAATAGTATTTCTAAAGCTCAGGCATATCAGATTTTCCTCGGAGTTAGATTGTATTACTAGTTTAAATTATATTAATAATATATTTACTGTGTATTTTATATGACAATTTCAGTTATTAGTGAAATCGATCTTTAACACTTAAAAATAAGTTAAAAAAAGCATATTTGTTAATGACGAGGCAATAAGAAGGAAAGCAAAAAAAAGAATGAAGCAATTGGAGTTTTATTTAAGAACTTTAAAGAGACCACCTCAATATTAATTATAAAAATATACTAAACTCTAGATATCATAATTTAGGTATAATTTGCTTAAATTTCCATTTTAGCTCAAACATGTGAAAAAAACAAGTATTCTAAAATAGAATAGAAAATATTATTCTCTGAGAATTTATTCTAGTTTTCTTTCTCAACCATCATTAAAAAATGTCTGTTTAATAATAATTTACATTTACCAATACAGAATACAATATATTTTAATGATATTTCATTCGAAAATACCAATTGGTATAGAGAAATCCATTTACATTTACAAATTAATGATGACACCGTAGTTTCATTTCAACGCTTCAGAAATCCGAAACGAAGTTAAACGTATGTAAGTAATGAGTGTTATGAAGAGGTTTCTGATTTTATTTTATACAATTTTAAACATGAAATATTTAACTAAAAAATTATTGGCGTGAGTACTTTACCGAATTTAATAAACTGCTAGCGTCTCTTACATATTGCGGCAATTTCAATACATTCGTTAACAAACAAATCTTTTGTTATAAAGAAAATATGATATTCGTTCCAATATCATTCGTTCAATGAGTTGTCTTTTGAATCAGTATTGTTTTTATTGTCAAGTGTTATGTATTTTTTATTTTATATCTAAAATATTGTTATGGTTAAATATATATAAGTATGTCGGAAACGAGTTATATTTATTCGTGGCTTATAGTACTCTGCCTTAGTGCTTATTTGGCAAGACGGCCAATACTCGATGTATTTTACAGTAAAGAGTATTTTTCCTCTATTTAAACTAAAAATAAATAATTACTGACAAAATGTATTTAGATTTAATACATTTTAACGTGTATATACTTTAACGTTTAGTATTTCCTCAAAGATGAGATATTTTCCTGCAGTAAAAAGTATCCTATATTTTGACCGGGATAACCAGCTATCATCATACCAAATTTCATCAAAGTCTGTCCGTCAGAGTCTGTCAGAGACACTGAAAACTGCAAATGCAGTTGCTAAATCAAACTCAAATCTAAAATCTGAAGTCTCCAAGTAACAAAACGACATGTAGCAAGTACTTCAGGTAAGAATTTAAACTGGAAGACGAGGACCCCGGTTTGGAGGCAATCGGTGGGTTTTATTATTAATCCGTATACGCTGAGATGCTTCCCGAGCGAAGCAAAGGTAAGCTGATAGTATATATAAGTGTCGCTTTTAGCTTCGACAAATATTCTGCAGTAGACACATTCTGCTTTGTTATAACGCTCTAAACATAACTACATAGTATAAAACAAAGTCGCTTTCTCTGTCCCTATATCCCTATGTATGCATAAATCTTTAAAACTACGCATCGGGTTTTGATGCGGTTTTTTTAATTGATAGAGTGATTCAAGAGGAAGGTTTTAGTATATGATTTGTTAAGTTTTTGTACACATTGGTTAAAATATAACGATATTTGTTGGAGGTGTCGGAAAAAATAAGACGTCTGGGAGCTTTCAACGAAAACGCTGCCTAAACCCTTTGAGATATAACAAAATAATGTATGGTGGAATTGTGTATCTTATATAGGTCTACAGAAAAGTCGCGATGGCATATATCTGTCTCTTAAGGATAACATACTATATCCATTTTAATTTAAAACGTACCTAGGAAGAAACCCGAGCGAAGCGAGGGTGAGTCGCTAGTTTCCTATAAGGACATCATAGCATGTATTTATCCAGCAAAATACAAGACAACTTATAAGCTGAAAGCGGCGTTTTAGAAACAGTACTAACTGACGTATATACAAGCACTGAATATTAATGAGATTCGTCTATATTATTATGCAAATAGACCACAAGTAACGTTATTTTCATCATTCCGATATTCGAAATATATTTAAAAGATAATTTTAGTAATTACTTTTTACTAAAAATGTAAGACGACTTCGAAATTACTTTAAAAGTCATTATTTTACCCTTAGTGGGAGGATTTATTCTTGATTTTTTTATAGAACATTCTAGAGATTTTCTAATAATGACAAAACCGAACAACTGTTAGCTTATATTTTAATTTTAGGTAGAAAATTAGTTTTTTTTAATGTATTTTATTCAAAACTTTACAAATATGTAAAAGTACAACGAAACCTCTAACACAAACCATACAAGATTTATCTACGAACAAGAAAGGAATACCCTTATAGATGTCATATTCTAATAGAAATATCTATCTCATTTCTTGAAACCCATCCAAAAATACTCCACAAACTTATGTATATTAACATTTTATTCTTCCATATTATATATTTGGAGTGACAACCCATTTTTTCATTTTAGATAATTTTCTTACATAGCCATATAGCGACTCATAGGGAACACCTATCTGCCAAATTACAGCTACATATATTGAACCAATAGTCTTGAAATGGTTATGACAGACGTGCATGAGGAAAGTATAACGATTCTATTTATAGCTTTTGCTAGAAAACCCTAAAAAGAATTGTGAAAAGCGGTTCACATTTAATGAAGACGAATAAAAACATACGATCGCATTAAGCACCTCTCCTCTTCGAAGTCAGTAAACATATATATATATATTTACTTTCCTAACATTAAAATATATAAATAAATACATATTTAAGTACATGTTGAGATGTCAAAGGAATGTTACTCCACATAATATATTTTATCTGTCACATTCCTAAAACATGTAAAATCAATAACATGTTATCTTAAAAGCACTTATACAAACAAACATATTCAGAGAATACGTTATATATACATAATATATGCATTACGTATGTTCATAATAATCTCCATGCAGGATTGTAATGGAGCGCTTGTCGGATTATCTTTCAATCCTGTAAAGATACCTTTTTATTTTAATGGATACCTCTTTTTCATTCCTCGTTTCTTTATAATATATTTGACGACACGTTTGGCTCAGTTTGTAGTCACCCTACTTGCTGTGTCAATTTATAGTTATAATATATAATGGAACGAGATGGTGCTGTGTGTTAATGTCCCAACATATTTATTTATTTATTTATATTGCAACAAAATATGTCATCGTACCTGCCATTGGATGTTTATTTGCTTTTATTAATATATACTAGCGATACGTACTTGCTTCGCTTAGGTTTCAAATATCATTTTAGTATTCAAACTTTTTTGTAACTAGAAAGGTAGGTTTAAATTGACTTTTAAATCCTATATCCTATTTTTAGTTAAAAAGAAATTATTATAGCTAAAATTGGTGTGTGTCAATATTTTATATATATAACCTTGATGCAATCTAAATTAAATAATTTGAAGATATTTATATAATATTTAACAATATAAGGATATGCTAAAAGCAAGAATAGTAATAAAACTTACCCAAAGTCAGATTGTCGAGCTTAAAGTGTCTAGAGTCCTCTCGCCTCCATGTGACCGTTGGGGGTGGAACCCCCGACGCAACGCAACGTAGTACTGCGTTGTCACCTTCTTTAACTAGCACCTCCCCGCTACTCGCTTCATCATCGATATCAGGTGGGACTGCAAGAAAAATATTCTTAATAAAAACTTATAATATTCTTCGACGACACGTTTGGCTCAGCTTGTAGTGACCCTACTTATTGTGACAACGGTCGCGGGTTCGAATTCCGCTGGGCAGAATCATTTGTGTGACGAGCACGAATGTTTGTACTCCAGTCCTGGGTGTTTATATTAAAGGTATAAAAGGGAATAAGATGGTGCTGTATGTTCATGTCCCAAAATATTTAATATTTATAAAACCTAAAAATCACTCGATGATACCACAGGAGTAAATATCTCTACAAATATTGGGTTTGCTTTGTAATTTTTATAGGGCGTGACGCGCTCTGCCTAATATTGTCAACAGCTCGAGCCGGAAAAAAACGGTTTTGTCAACGGGTAGCGCGTACATGAACTCATCAGGGAGCTGTCAGGCACACACAGCTGCCTTATGTTCTAGTATACCTATAGTTGCGGGGTATATGAAACTTTACCTCTGTAGGGATATTGTACGCTAAATTACTGGATGGAAAAACAATAAATTGTGCACAAGTTTTTCTTGTATAAAAGAAATAAGCACTATCAAATTTCACATACTTATAAAGTTGCTTTCAAGATTTTTGATGATGATGATGATGATCAAGATGATTACGTCTTAGTCAGTAAAGTGTAGTGAAATTAATACAAGTGTGTTAAAAAATAAAATAAAATGAATTTCATATAATGAGATATTTACTTATGGTCATAATAATATAAAATTTTGAAATAACTTTTTAACATCCTATATATATTATCTACTAGCGACTAACCCCCGCTCCGCTAGGGTTTGTCCCTACCTACGTTTTAACGTTTAGTATAGATTTCTCAGAGATGAGATATTTTCCCGCAGTAAAAAGTATCCTATATGTTGACCCGAATAATCAGCTCTCATCATACCAAATTTCATCAAAATCCCTCCAGTGGTTTTGCCGTGATCCAGTAACAGATAGACTGACTGACAGACAAAAATTCTAAAACTATAGATTATACCTAGAACTATAGATACCTCTGTATCGATAATAATGTCTATTTCAATAAGATTTCTCAAAAAAATTTAATGTACAGATTCGACTCAGTTTTAATTTTATTTATATGTATGTATAGATATGAAAACCATATACATAATTAAAATGACTTTAAGCTTGCAAGTATGAAAAATCGATAAAACTTTAACGAAATTATACGACCTATCCTTTATTACCTGCCTTTGTGAAAGAACTCATTCAATAATACACTTTGTGAGAAATGACTCGCAATTCAGGTCATTTTTTACGTTCAACCATTTATTTGGCAGTTTTCTCTTCTTTCAATGCCTACTTGGAACTCATGATGAGTTATAGGAATTTAACTTTATGTGCTAAATTTTAAAAGTTATAAGAAATTAAATTCATATATTATTATATCTATACGAATATTATAAATGTGAAAGTTTAGATGTTGGGATGTTTGGATGTTTGTTACTCAATCACGCTAGAATGGTTGAACGTATCTCGATGAAATTAAGCACAAAGATATATTATAGCCTGAAATAGTATATAGGCTACTTTTTATCACAGAAAAATGTATAATTAATGGTAATTTGTAAGAAGAAGGAAAAAAAAATATTGTTGATTTCTTAAAAACCACTCGACCGATTTCGATAAAATTTAAATAGGCCACCTGGGAAGTATACCCTTCGAAACAAAAAAATATCCAAATCGGTTCAAGTGCCTTCGAGTAATCAGTGAACATACATAAAAAAAGATACCGACGAATTGAGAACCTCCTTTTTTGGAAGTCGGTTAAAAAGCACTTATTGCTTAATGATAATTACTTCAATTGAATATAGCATTGCTATGAGTGTTTTTGCATTTAAAGAAAGACAAAGTTGCTAAGATTAGGAACTGTATCAACGCTATGTGTACGTATCTAGGGGACGCACACGAGCAAAGTAAGGGTAAGTCACTAGTCAAAATATATTTCGTTGCTTATAAAAATAAGATAACCAATACTCATTCGGTTCTTGAAGCCAAGAAGCGTAAAGGCCGTAGATAAAATAAAGAGTAAGTAGTTTTGTTAAAGTTTTCCTAAGTTTATTTAAGATGGCTCGCTTTTCTAGTATCTATGTTTGAGCTTCCGGAATGTTTATCATTGCCATCGTAAGTTTTGTAAGGAACTTAGATGAAATACTATTCGTATTTTAGAGATATGAAGTAAATTTCGATTGCACGAGCTTTTCAAGATGGCAAGTGCACTGACTTAGAACTTTTAAAAACTAATTCTTTTAAGTTAATATAAACAGTTGTTACAAGAAACTGAGTGAGTTTATGTATTTCCTCATTTATATAGATTGAATCAATACATATATTTATATGTCAATATACAAAAACAAAATAGTTCAGGACATTTTTCTTCACTGTTTGTCAACTGATATTCATTTTTTTTCGTCTAATTAACTTTTGATGAGTTGTAGTGTTATCAATAAAAACTAATAATGATAATGGTCGCATTTCAGCCACTAATTTAGAATAAAAAATTATTATTATTTTATTAATCAATAGAGACTTCACTATCAAAAATTCAACAAACATATTATACCTTTAATTAAGGGTAGAATAATTTAAAATAATTTTAAAAATAAATTTTTATATACTTTGACCTACATACAGCAATTACAAATCTATACATATAATAAAATTGTAACTAAGCCGAATCTGTACATTAAATATTTTTTGGAAAATCTTATTGAAATAAACATTATTATCGATACAGAGGCCGAATCTATACTTTTTAGAATGTCTGTCTATCTGCCTGTCTGTTACCGTATCACAGAAAAACCACTGGAGGGATTTTAATGATATTTGGTATGGTGATGGATGGGTATCCGGGTCAACATATAGGATACTTTTTACCGCGGGAAAATGTCTCATTTCTGAGAAAAATACAAAAACTGCAATGTAAGTGTATACTAATATGTAAAACCTAAGAATTTGGTTTTCGGTCATCTGAACGCGGGCGGAGCCGCGGGCAATGCTAGTACAAATATAAGCCGTGAATGAGTTTCGAACCCATAATAGTACATATTGACAACACGTCACCTCAGTACCTATTTGTGCAAACCACTTAAGTCACTACTGTAAAGTATAGAGTTTCTTCACTCTACTTTAAAAACAAAGCTTTCTTTTTACGCTTTACATACATAGATAGAGTATATTTTTTCCGATTTTTTTTAAATTTAAAGTATATATTTTATACCAATAGAATTGACATTTAAAAGTCAATAATTCTGTATTAAAACCCTTTCATAAATTTGGTCGTTAGGACAAAATATAAGCACTTAGAAGACAAACAGATATCGTATCATACCAACTCACCGACGTATAAATAGTTTAAATTCACTTATGAAAGCGGAACGTCTGTCACCTAAATTAAGCCAAAGCTTAGTCTTGACTCTTTTAGTACAACTGGCTTATATTACTTACCCCATATTACTAACCCCTTATTTTGTCACTTTAGCTATACATATAATAAAATTCTGAGTCAAATCTGCACATTAAATATTTTTTGGAAAATCTTATGGAAATAGACATTATTATCGATACAGAGGCTGATTCTATAGTTTTTAGAATTTTTGTCTGTCTGTCTGTTATCGCATCACAGAAAAACTACTGGACGGATTATGATGAAATTTGGTATGATGATAACGGCGGAGTCGCAGGCAATGCTAGTAATATAATAAATTAATGATAAATAAGTTATTATTATTACCGACAACTTGTAGAAGATGCGTTTGACTCATCATAGGCTCAGTGTTGACTTGACACATGTATCTGCCACCGTCAGCCGCACTCACGTCCCGGAGGCCGAGAGTCCACGCACCGTCCCCATGTTGCACGCTGATGCGATGGTTCTTGGTTATCACATGACCAGCTATAGTCAATATTGTCTGTGTGTCCACTCGAAGCCACGCCACCTTGGAAAATATTTATTATGAATTTATTTTATTATGCTTTCTTAGATTTATATAATAAAATTCTAATTGAATCATAGGTGTACATTCAATATTTTTTTTCCAAAATCTTATTGAAATAGTTGTTATTATCGATACAGATGACGAATCTATAATTTTTAGAATTTTGGTCTGTCTGTTTGTCTGTGATCGCGTCATGAGAAAACCACTGGACAGATTTTGATGAAATTTGGTAAGAATACAGTTTGAGATCCTGGGAAGGACATATGATACTTTCGCTCCCGGAAATCATACCTAAGGGGATAAAAATAAAACATAAAGTCAAAGAGGTTTTATTAGATTGCTAGTAATATTATATTATTTTATTGTAATTATTATTAATATATATTACATTATATTCTAAGATCTTATTCCACATAAGTAAGTACTAAAATGAGACAAACAAAACGTTCAAATTTCCATTTTTATAGCACATCCCTATTATTTCTAGATAGTCATTAATCAAAACATCATCGGGCACAAAATTAAGAAAAAGTTTAAACAGGAACTTTCGGAGAGGTCAATTTTCATAATAAATGACAGTCCAAGTCTTCAATTGTTTGACTGCGCTTGATAAATGACGTTGAGTTTTGTCGAGTCGTTTTTAATTTTTCACCGATCATGTTTTATTCAAGCTTCTGTGAAAAATGCTTCGGCGTAAGCGACACTTTATTAGGGGCAAAGTATCAAAAATACGTGTTTTCAGATGACTGCTTGAAATATTTATTTAAATTTGTGAATTTACATTTTGCAAGTCATAACAATTATTTTATATACTTATTAATCATTTAACATAATTCAACTTGGTAAATAGGAACTCAATTTACTAAAATCTTAACAATGGATTAAAAAAGCCATTATTAATATTCTGCCAGGAAAATCTATATAATATCTTTTGTTGCGAGCGAAAATTTAACTAACAATAACTAAAGTATTATTGATAAACTTAATTATTATAAATCAACAATAACTCCAAAACTAATAAACCAATTTTAATAAATCTTATACCGTTGGAAAGTTACATAATTTTAGCTGTCTTAGAAATAGGGCCTCTTGTATGAACATTATATCTTTCTTTTATTTTGTATCTTTTATTTAACTGTTTTGTATTTATTTCTCTTTTTTTTTGTGTAAGATAGAGAGTTTAGGTGAATAATTATTATTACTAGTGATCTGCCCTCGCTTCGCTCGGATGAGTCATTTAACATATTTTATCAACCGACTTCAAAAAGGAGGAGGTTCTCAATTCGACTGTATTTTTTTTTATTGCGCGGAACCCTAATTATTTTTCTAAAATAAAAGTAGCCTAAGTTACTCCTTATAATATTAGCCATCTGCCAGTGAATGAGCCTGAACAAACAGACAGACTGACAGATAAAAATAAAAAAAGTTCTTTTTCTTATAAGCATTTACCACATATAATTTTCATATGCATTTAATAAAAAGCTTTTATTTCGATACAAACAAAAATTTCAATTTTATTTATGTGTATTAATAATAGAGAGGTAACTTGAGTTATTTTTTATCCCACTAATCATAAATTAATAAATAAATACGACGAGCTGGTTAAAATTATTTACTACTGAAAATAAATAATGATAATATGGTGTAAATTTACCTTAAAACCCTGTAAATTATCGACTCTACATGTTAGTGCCGCGTCTCTCCCCACCGCAACGGTGACGTTGGATCCAGGACCCACAAAGTGTGGTAGATCTGTAACAAAAATGTTAAAATATACCGTTTAGTATAGATTTCTCAAAGATGAGATATTTTCCCGCAGTAAAAAGTATCCCATATGTTGACCCGGATAACCAGCTACCATACCTATCAAAATCTGTCCAGTGATTTTTTCGTGATGCGTTCCCAGACAGACAGACAAAAATTCTAAAAACTAAAGATTCGGCCTCTGTCTCGATATTAATGACTTTATCAATATTGTGTGTAAGTATGTAAAGATTCGACTCAGAATTTTATTATATATATAGATTATACTTTGATTTGATTTGGAGAAGGCTACGAATATATGCGGTGGCGGCATTAGTGTCTTAGCGCCTCTTGGAAACAAGTATATAGAAATATTTGAATCATGCCACAAAATAGTTGCGCCCTAAGCGAAATGTAGCTATAGGAATGTTACTTGGTGTTTTCATGGTAACTGAGACCTCTTTAGACACCCAGCACATTATACTATATGAGGGGAGATAAGATGCCTCCATGGATAATAAATGATAAAAATGTTTTGATACATAAAAACGGATTATTATAGAACAGGAATAGAAATCACGACCCATCCCAGTCAAGTTAGGTTCCGACTAATGCATTATATACGTGTAGCGAAACTAGCGTTTTTCCACGGCTCCACTCGTCTTGTTCAGTTATGAGTTACTATAGTTATAACCTATTTTATTATAGCCTGTGTGTTACGCTTGATGTATTAGCTTTATTACTATAAAGTTTCATCAAAATCGGTTTAGTAGGTTTGACGTGAAAGAGTAATAAACATACGTCAATAAATGATTTTTTATAGAGGTGAGTGAACGCTTTGGTTTCCTTGATTAGTTTTAGGTGACTTTTTTAAATATGTTTTTTATGTAGCACTGTTTTTATATTTAATTTATCGCTTTTAGGCAGAGAGCTGTAGGTAGATATTTTCGTGTATTTTTAACCGGTATTAAAAAAGGGGGGTTCTCAATTAGGTTTTATTTATGCTTAGCGATATTTCCGGCAAGTGTAAATCGATTTTCATAATTTCAGACTTTAGTGAATTACCTCAAGGATCAATGGATTTGTAATGACAAATTAAAAAAAAACATCCACCTATTATAGTAGGTATGATAGATATGTAATTTTAAATCATTTTGAAATTGGTATACTTTTTACGGCTATAAACTAATTATAAATAGCAATTTATTTCTCTTACACAAGCTTCTACAATTACATAAAAAGCGTACTAAATCACCAAATATTGGGCGATCATTACATATTGTATATACAATTATTTTATTATTAATTATTATTATTGTATATATATACGTATATACTAGTAACAAAAAATTTCTTCTTACTTTAAATTCATAATGAATCTAACAATGTACAGAAAGAATGGGCTCTACTGCGAATAAAATATCGATAAAGTTTCCCATTTTCATTCACCTCTGCGAGAAATATTCAGATATAATTCATGTAAAATTTCTAAACTTTTTAATTTATTGTTCATTTTAACAAGCAAAAAGGCTTTTGCAGGTGAACGACAGCCTTTTTTTAAAAAGCGTAATATATTTCAAAAGTACATTTATAGAGATGCTAGCGGCTCATTCCCGCTTCTCTCGGGTTTGTCGCTAGTGAAAAACAAAAACAAATCTCATCCACGGGACCTGTAAATTTTTCCGGGATAAAAAGTAACCTATATGCTATTCCAGACTATAATCTATATCTGTGCCAAATTTCATTTAGATTCATTCTGAAGCGATTGGGTAACAAACATCCATCCATCCAAACTTTCGCATTTTGTATTGCAGTAACATTCATGGATAGACTTGACTTAACTTCTGGATTTACTCGTGTATAAATAAAAATGATATCTAAATATAGTTTATATAGTTAGTAATTAGTTTAGACAGTTTTTAAAATGTCAAAAATTCGAGTAAATCTCAGAAAATATTATTATGAATATGTATTTTACAGGTTTCATTCAACGTTTCGAGATGTTCATTAATATTGTGTACAGTAAAAGAATGGGATAGGAGTGATCACTATCATTTTTACTGTGTGTTTGTCACCAACTTCACTCGCATGCGTAATAGCAATTGATATTTTAGTAAATAAAACGAACAGAAATATGTATAACAATTATTTATTTATTTACCACCAACTAGACATAGACTAACAAAAGCATAATATTTTTACGAAGAAGAAGAAAAAAATAAGAAATCATAAATTGTAAGAGGTGACTGAACTACAGGTGTTACACACCTTTCATAAAAATAGTATAATGAATTAAACAAAAAAATAATAATAATTGTAATTTTAGTTAAGTATATGATAGGAATAATCACAATTACGAGTACTTATCATAAATACAATAATTTGTATATCTATATATTTGTTTTTTGTATTTGGATGAAATTTAGTATAGAAATATATATTATACTACTAGTGGCTCACCCTCGGTTCGCTCGGGTTCGCCTCTAGATAAACCAAAACAAATTATCCCACGGGAACCGTACATTCCTCCAGGTAAAAAGTTACCTATTTGTTATTATGATGTATGAACTATATTATTGTTAAGTTTATTTGAAATCCAATCAGTAGTTTTTTTGTACTAAACTGTATAAGATACTATAGTTTTTTAACTATTCCACGGGAACTCTTTAATTTTCCGGGAAGAAAAGTATCTAAAATATTGACCGGGGAGACAAGATATTACCATGCAAAATTTTATTTAAATCGGTCCAATGGTTTCGGAGATTAGCCCGTACAAACAGACATACAGACAGAGAAACAAAAATTTAAAAAAAATCTGGATTTGTCCGATCTGATGATCTGATTTCTCTTCCTTCATCCATCTGACTCGGTTCTTAGCATTTTTTTTCTATGTCCAGACATTCGACCTCTACAGTTTTATTATATGTATAGATGTATAAATAACTTGGGATTACACGTAGGATATTATTAGTTATATTTTTTTTCAAAAGTCGCGCTGTCTGCGCATAAGATCACACACATTAAAAAACGCTACTAAGGATACACCCGAGAGAAGCGAAGCTAAGTCTCTAGTATATAATCCCATAAGGAGTTATTTAGTAAAATAAACTCAGTCCTAAATATTCACCTGACCCTTACATAAGCAAATTGGGCATTTCACCCTTACAATGATATACTATTTTTCACGCCAAAAACCCCCGAGAGAGACCAAGCCATATTTTCCAGTAACGAAATCTTCGTGAAGAGCGTGAATCGACAATCGGTCCCCAGACATCTGAGCTCGAAGAAAAGTAAACGAAAACTGTTCATATTATCGTCCTTAAATATTCGCTGTAAGGTTCAACAAACCACAACATTTGCTATGTCCATGGGCTTACTAGAGCTTTTAGTAGGATAACATTAGTCCCAATAAGATTACGCTTCTTCTGTTTTTGTACGGATGAAAATTAAAAAATCACAGTGTATTTCGTAATAGAAATGTATAAAATTGTAAAAAAATGTAGACTTTTGTACCATTTGTATAATATATTATCATTGTATTAAAATTAAAGCTATGTTTTCAAAAAAAACTTTGTGCTAGCGATGGTGATTATTACTAAAACTAATCGAATTAGTCGATAGTTCAGTTTAGTCGATAAAAGTCAATAAAATTCGATAACAATCGATGTTATTCGATTGTTATCGACTAACGGCGTAAGGCGGGGGATAATAACTGTCATTTTCCTTGTTAACTTTAACTACTAATTTGTAGCGCAGCGCACCTATATTACTATACTCGTACGTAAACAAATTGTAGTAAGTAATACTATTTAGTTACTATTTATTATAAAAAAATCGACGTAACACCATCCCGCACCCCGCACGCAGCTCACCGCTCGCACATGCAGTATGCGTCGTGCGTACAGTTAGTACTTAGTCGATTCGAATAATCATGGTGAGGAACTACTAAATTAACAATCGAATGCACAGTAGCTCAATTTTCGATTTAGTCGATTATTATTATTTTTTGCAAAAATCACCCATCGCTACCTTGAGCTACGTTTTTTGACTATCCGCTTTTTTCTTATTTTCTACAAACTTCGTAACATTATTATATTTACTGGGAATACGAACAAACAAAACAAATTTCCATATTCATTATTTCATAAAAAGACCACGATTTTGGCCTCGCATAAATCGAAATTAACATTTCTGGCTGGTGGTAGTTATATAAATAAAAATAAGCGCGAATATATAAAATATCCTGATCCTCTTTTCAAATCAGATACCATTTGCTCCATATATAAATATTTGTATTCAGACTTACAATTATTATGCACTTCCAAAAGCTTATTGAAATTCACATTTGATTGCATTACTAGTTTTGTTATAACATTAAATAGGAAATATAACATTCAATAATAGTAGTGAAATAGTTAACCTTAAAAAAATCCATACAAGCCACAGTATGAATGCTAAGCAAAATATTTACATACAGTAACTCGCAACGTACGACTATCATTTATAAAGCGAGATTTCTTCAAACTTTTCTACGAATAATATTGCAGTGAGGATTTATTTTCTTTATGTGGGGTATTTGGGACTTTATTATTTTTTGCTTGAAATATATTTCAATTTCTTGAATTCACTGAACAATTTTAGGTATTAAGCATATTTTCATGAAAATCGTTATTAGAGGGAAATATTACTGTGAAACGTTCAAGTTCGATGCTTTAATATGATTCTTCAAAAGATTTAAATTAATCTTTCAACACCAAAACATAAATATTTGGAAAAATGTCGAACTTAATTTCTTTTTGCTATGTCATTAAAATCAAGATTAATCTATTAAAATAATCTCATCAGTATTCATGAATATATAAATGAAAACAAGTTATAGAATAATAATAAATAAATAAGAAAAAAAATAAATAAGAAATTTGAATATTCTCATAATATTTTGATATTAATATGTAATATAATGCTCTATATAGCTCCAGAGGTCGTGCCTTTAATTCCCACTGGATGAA